TGTAAATTATTGTAATGGTTGGTTTCTAGTATTTCGAACATTTTCACAATGTGGAATTGTACAAGATCTTAATATGGGACATTTCTGTGCTAAGTTTATGATGATTTTGTTCAAATCATGTGTATATTTAGGCTAGTCCAAAAATCCAAATTTAAATTTAGGGTTGTTAGTCCTTTCCCTTGTTAATAAGATATTTTAATAAAGGGTGATAATGGTAATAATTTACTTACGAGTGACTGGAAACCACTTTCCTCATAACCATTCACTAAACTGCCATTCATTTGTGGGGTGTCCTCCACATCATCATCAGCTTCTCCACCATACATTGACGAGTATGGCCTTGAACTATTTTGGGGTGTTGACCCATTTTGCTAGAATTTTTGAAAGGTTCATTTTGTTAGTTATGCAAATTTTTAGGTGTCGTGGGAGAAAAGGGTATTGAGTCAAGACCCTTTGCAGGACTTGATAATGATGGTACAATGTGACTCAAAAACAATCTCCATTGAAAAAATGATTGACATCATCAAAACTATTTAAGCACCTTAGAAATTAGTACCAGCCAAGTTTGAACATTTTGTTATGTAATGGAAAAGAAAAAATATGTATATTTTTTTGTTCATTCAAAATTTTACAAAGAATGTTTAGTTTTAGTTTAGTTTAGTTTATTTACATTATTAGCGTCTATATATCTGTTACAAATATTTAAGACTTAATGCTAATAAYTATTAATACATTACAATCACACAAATATAAATTTACAATACATTTACAATATTTCATAAGTTATATCAAATTATTAGAAAAAGAATGTACAGCTGGTATGCAATGTGAGCTGCAAAAGGCGTTTTGCATCATATAACAAGCAATCCATTTTGAGGCAGTTTTGCTATAATTATTGTTCTATTTTTTCCAATATTTCCAAGACCTTGCCTAATGTGACATCCCCTGCCATTGTAAATGCAATATTTTTTTACTGAACAACAGGTTAGGTTACAGCATTATTGCTCTTCCTATTTTTTTCTCTTTTATTTTATATTTAAACATATTGCAAAATTTCAATCCAAAGCTGTAGGACACCCTGCTGAAGGATACAGGAAGACCACCTAATGGCAAATCTATAAATGATTTATGGGAAATAAAAAATGAAAATTTATTGATAAGCAGCTTTCATGTTTCTGGTGAGATAACAGGAGATAGCTGTATGGTTTTCACTCAATCGAAATAATATATCATCATACGAAGCAATTTCAGTTTTTCACATTATTTTGAAAAATAATAATGATGAAATTAATAAAATAAATAATTAGATAATAAATGGGATTTAACTGTGGTATTTCCACAGAGTGGCTCTTCAACCACTGAATTGCAATTGGAATTTAGTAATCAATTTTTGCAGAGAGGAAAGCTGGTGAACTCAGGAGAACCCCCAAAGCACTTGATATTGAACCAGCAAGCAGCACTCACATACGACACCGATCCCTCACACCAATATGCCACCTAAGCTTCCCATAAAATTAAATTAAATTAAATAAAAATAAACTAAAAATAAAATGACAATGTAACTATATTAGATGCTTCCAATTTTTGATAACTAATAAATACTAGACGAAATGTGACAAAATTAATTTTCTGATAAATACGTGTGACAAATGAAGACATTATTTAAAAGCTCAGAATGTGATTAAAAATTATAATTTTCTGAATATTCAAATACATGTGTACTAGATAAAGTCAAAATGGATGTATGAAATCAATGATATAAAAACCAGGGAATGCTATGTCCATTATGAGTTGCTGCATGTATGCTGCTGATCAAAACATATTGACTGCATATATCTCATTTTAACCTCTGGTCATGCTTACTAAAGCATGAATGCCAAACTTAATATCAACTTTCAGATTTTTAACGATTGACAGAAGTTTCTAGATAAAATATATATACAGTTGTGTTACTAAAGGAGACTTTGAATCTAATCTAATAATAATCATTTTACTTTGACTTGTATCCAATTGCTAAAACTGCATTAGCTTCTTGTCACAAAACTAATAAAAATATGCTTGGAATGTCTGTGACATTCTTGATGATCTTAACATCTTACTCAGATAAAACAAAAAATCAGGCCATAGTTGAAGATACTAATAGGACTATAGTCAGACAACCTTTAGAAAACCTTTATCACTTTTAATTTTTTGACTCACCTTGGTGGTAACAATGCCATCAGAACCTCGATGTAGTTTTGATACATCTAAATGTGGTCCATTGTAATACGACATGGTGTTTGATGTGCAACCCAGCCAATAAAGAGTGTTAATAACCTGTATATCCAAAGAATAATAATGTCACTTAACTAATCAGTACAATAAAAGAATGTTTATAACAACCGCATGAATATACATATTAAGGAATTGTAACATTTTACATGTCTTGAATATCCCATTTGTGACGTACAGTATGTCTGCATCTCATCCAGTGTCAAGTAGTTATAATAAATATTAATTACTATGGAAAACTAATACATTGAGTTATGCTATATCCAAAATAACTTAAATAGGTTACTTGAGTCATTATAGTTTTTTTTCTGTACAATAAAATTTTTATGTACAGATCAAAATATACTAGCTAGAACATAGTGTACCAATTTTAATTCAAAAAAGTATAGTACATACTGAACTATTTTATTTAAAAAAGGTTGTCTTATTGTACAATGATTTGCACATTACCATTTTAAAAGTTAAGAAAATAAAAAAAAAGAAAGAGAGAAAAAGGGGTACAGATTGGATTGTATATTGGTAACATATCATTATTATTATTATTATTATTATTAAATTATTATTTAACCTGGTAGAAGTTGCCCCTCATAATGTCTCATTTATGAACTGAGCCACAAGTGATATTACACAAGACAACTTTTTTTTTATTTTTCCTTTTTTTGTTTCTGTAAAAACTTAAATTCATCACAGAAATAATGTTGCCACTAGTCGAATTACCTTTTGTGTTACATCATCCTCGGATGTCGATCTACAATCAAATTATGAAATAAACATGAAATAAACAAATGAGTTATAGGAATAATTTTATAATTATTATAAAAGTAAATGTACAGGGTTCATTCTAGAGAGAATGAGAGAAAAATATCAAATGGCTTTGGCGGGAATCGAACCCACGTCTTCAGTATTCCAGTCTGATGTATTAACCACTATACTACAAGGACCAACCACGCTGGTAACGCAGTCGGAATATGAAATCTAGGGTACTCGTGAGGATCCCAGAGAGATATTTTTTCTCTATAGGTAAGTTGAACACCGTAAATATGTAAGCAAAGAATAGACATAGTATATAGTAGTAATAAATTATGCGTTCGGTGTGTGTAATGAAATAGAGAGAATAAGAGAAAAATATATTCTATTCTCCTCCACAGCTGTCATTAGTTTCGATCCCAGATTCTGTACTTACATCTTAAAGCCAACATCAACCTTGTGAAATTCGTTAGGGTCAAATAATTGCCAATCATGTAGCCCTAGACTGCTGCATGCACTAATGAATTTGTGGAGATTTTCCTATGAAAAAAGAACAAAATAAAATATTGAATTAATGAAATAAAAGCTACATTACCAAAAGCTGGCTTTGGGTAATTGGTAATACCTTCATAATTTTATAACAAACCTTTTCCATTGGTTCACGTAATAAAATTAATTACAGAAAATTGCATCTCTTGAAAAGCATTTTATACAAACATGACATCTACTGCTTTATGAGTCCTTTATACTATATGATGATCAACTGGCTTGAGAGAATTGGGCAACTTTGAATATCATCCGTTTTACTTTTTTTTTATATGATAAGACTAACTTCAATCATTTTGAAATGACATTGAAATAACAAAAACTTAATACTCTTTACTTCTTAAAGTATATTTATATACTATATACACCATACATAATTTGACACAAGATAAAGTTATTTTTATCAATTTCCATATCAGGCTTAGTCTAAAAACCTAAAAGGTAATTTTCAAGTGCTAATAAATTTAATAGTTAACAGTATAATTAGAACAATTTTTAATCATTAAAATCTACCAAATAATGATTAAAATACACATGTATGGTGTGACATATTTGTGTGCATAAGGATCCATCGATTTCTTGCAATAATAGGAACAATTTTTTTAAAAAACTATGCAAAATATAGTTAATTGGTTGCATTATGTGGCAGCTAGTACACATTATATACGTGAATGAATAATATATAGATGCATTATCTAATGATAGAGCACTATGTTTACACATTTTGTGATAAACTAATGCTGAGACGAATTAACCTTGATATTACTCACTGTAGCCAATATAAGGCATTTTAGATTAATCTACTATGGCTTTAAGGTTCGAGGTTTGCATGTATAATTGCGTTTATGAAATTGAACAAGATCCATGTAATATACATTTACAGATTGTTGCAACACTTGATAAGGAATCTCGAGAACTCATACTAATAAGTCGTCTTCTATCGATAGAACAAGGTTTAACATGAGTATTATTTTATAAGTAAAGCTAATAACCAAACAACAATCTAAGTTAAAGAACGATCACCTTCAATAGAGATCTAGTCGATTTCCTTGACAACTCCAATTTGTATATTTTGGTTCGAAACAAAGCAAGGAAATTGTAGAGGGAGGCCGTCCGTGCATAAAACCAAAATTCAGAACTAACTTTTATTGTCATAGGAAGATAATAAAATATATTCGTTTTTTTCTTACGATTTAGGGGGTATTGAGTGAATTCTAAGCTTGAAAAGACACGAATTTGATTAAGAATTATGCATATATCGAACGTAAACAAAATGGCGTATAACGAACAATAAGCGAATTTCCGGCCCATAAAAGAACAAAGTTTAACCTAAAATTTACTAGCTAGGAACAAAAACTCTAACTTTTCTAAAAAAAAGTTTTCTTAGAAGAAAATTTTTTTCTATTTCAAAAGACGTAGAAAACTAGTTAAGGGACACTAAAGTAACTATAAATGTATAATATTATGCAGATTTAAAGCTCTGAAACAGCAAAATAATATTCCAAAGTTTCTCCATAAACGTTAAGTTTATTTCGTTTCTTTAGGGCACAAATATATCTAGTTTCAAAGAACATTTCATAAATTAAAATTTTGCATTTGAAGATTGAATATAAACTCTATTTTTGAGAATATTTATAAGATTGTGTATTAAATAAACTTTCACAACCGCCAACAACTACGAATGTATATTAATATCGTTCGGAAACCAAGCTTCCAGTGCCCCAGTCGTTAGATTAGGAAATTATGGACACCATTTTACAGTTACTTTATGAGGTGTTCTTAATTCTAAATGGGAGGGAACGAGGCGTAAAAATCGTTTGATGAATAACTGGAAGAAGCCAGTATGTTACCTACCAAAACTTGTTCTTTATTTGGGTTTTCTACAACATCCTGAATACGATTCGGTTCTATGCGATTGATTAAACTGTAAGAAAACCAAGCTGTCGATCAGTCTTACAGCATCCATTTGGACAGAATCATATCTTAGATCTCAAATCACGGTGTTTTAAATACTTGCCTACAAAGATGAACACCATCTCTTAGTGAATCGATAAACGATGAGTGAAATAAGCGTCCAGTTGCTGCCTAGAGATACAAGCAAGCAATACCCAAGCATTAGTTTCCAAACGCCACGGACTTCTGTAAACACGTCAGCGAGATCGGAAAACAAGAAATCTGTAATATGACACCAAGATATTCTCCCTAAACTGACCTCGATCCACTCTTGAAGTATCTGTTGAACTGCTTCGGACGATGAATTTAGATCTCTATTCGGAAAAGTCGACCTCGATCCGACGGGTTCGTTGAGCGGTTTTGCAAACTCACATAACTCAAATATTTTCTAATTCTTTCGACGAAACGGGAATTAATGACGTTATAAGCAGAGTAACGCTCGGATGTAATGTTGTGTCATGTTTGAAAACTATAAAGTTCAGGTATTATATACGAGATTTGATCAAATACTTAAAACACGCACTGTTAAAATACCACTGAGTTGGGGTCACTGTCATTTGAGGAATGCCAAACACTTGATCGTGATTGGCTGATTTAAACAATGGGGCTAACCATCTTCAATACTTCAAATCCATGATGTTTATCTTTTCCCACTGCGAGTTTTTTACTAAAACCTTTGTCAAGGATAGCTTTTGTTGTAGTTGAAACCAGAGGGGTTAAACCATTTCATAAATCCTTCTGATGAATTAAGTTGATGACAAAAAATAACAAGCGTGGATTTTCACTAAAAAGCAAAGATCCAATTAAAAACTTCTCGAAATTCCAAGTTTTTGACTGAATTCCAGCTGTTGGGAATTCGAATGAAAAAAGGAAAAAAGTAATGAGAAATGGATGAGTAAAACGAAATAAAAAAGAATGAAATGAATGAATAAAGATCATGTAAACTTTAAACTATTTATACAAATGTTTCTTTTTTYTTACTCAAAACAAATACAAGCGTTCCCTTTGTGTACTCAACCGCACGAGTTCTCTAAAGTGAATACAGTGAGTTATTTTTGTGACCCACTATTTACCTCGTTTTGCCCTCTGCCAATCAAGATAACTAAGCTAAACTGCAATATCGTAAATATGTTGGACACAGAAGCCAAAACACGAAAAACGACGTGTCGTATCTGAGTCGCAGTTCTAAACACGAAAAGCACCATCGTTCATCTCACTCTGGAGTGTCAAGACCTACTGATTTCAAGTATACGTAGAATTTTGTGAAGAAAATGAAACCAGATAGCAATGGATTGGCCAAGACTTGTCCCTTTTAGGAATTTGTTCAAGTTCATATTTGGATATTGACGTAGTCTCAATTGCCCTATTTCACTATGACGTCACATCAAAACAATCTATTGTTTAAACGCAAAGGATAATGGTCATTGGAGGAGGTCAAATCAACGCAAATTTACCGAAAATTGTTCTAAAA